GTTAGTATTTTGCCTGGTTTTCGTGGCAAAGACAGCTCGCGATTCCTCCATATGTTTTCATTCAATTATAAACATGTTTGTTTACTTTAGAAGAACAAATTCGTGCATTGTGGATGTCATATGTGTGCTGTATCACAATACAAGGTTTCTAGACATTTGTTTTTTGGTGAAACATTTTTTTTCACACATCAAATTGTAAACATTGCTTATAACTAGACACTATTCTTTCATTCAAAATTCTTGTAATATATTTGCTCTCCACAGTCTTTCAAAGTACTAAAATGTCTTTCTTGATGTTTTTCCAGCGTTATTCGTCTGATCATGCAGTACCTGAAGGAAAACAGCTTGCAACGTACTTTAGCAACGCTTCAGGAGGAGACGACAGTGTCCCTCAACACGGTGGACAGTATTGAGAGTTTTGTGGCAGATATCAACAGCGGTCACTGGGACACTGTGCTTCAGGCTATACAGTCTCTCAAACTCCCTGACAAGACCCTCATTGATCTTTACGAACAGGTGAGAGGCTGATAAAATCGGGATTTTTGGAAGTCTGCTGTAATGGTGTGGCTTATTTTGAACATTGATTGATCTGTGAGTAACTGGACAGATCATAAGTGGTTTTGTGGTATTTTTGCAGGTTGTTCTTGAGCTGATTGAGCTCCGAGAGCTGGGAGCTGCCAGATCTCTGTTGAGGCAGACTGACCCTATGATCATGCTGAAACAAACCCAACCTGAGCGATACATCCACCTTGAGAACCTTCTAGCACGCTCTTACTTTGACCCCAGAGAGGTGAGGGATCTAAAACAAAGCACTTCACAAAACCCTTTATTTATTTGTATTTAGGAATACATTTATATAATAGTTTATGCTGTGTTTCTTACAAGGTTTTGTGAGATTATATCTAGGGGGATTCAGGGACATGTTCTTCCAAAATAAAATTTTGTACATTTTAAAGTTAAATGCATCAACCTGGTGCACATTCAAAGCAAAATTAAGAGCTCCAGCCCGTTTTTCCACAGAATGCAAAAATTCAAACGGTTTTAGAACGACATGGGAGAGAGTAAATGATGACCATTTTTGGTGGACTGAATTATGGTAAAAAATGTATGATAATTTCTTCACTTGCAAGAGAACAACACTAAAGCTTTTATTTTGGCAGAAAACTCATTACAAATCTTCATTACAAATCTAGTGAAACGCTGTAATCATCTGTCCACAGCAATGTTGAGAGTTATGCAAATGTGAAAATAAATCATAACAGGTGCACATTGAGTTCCCAAATGCACGTTAAACTCACAGCACATGCAGATATGGAGTTTGCAGCGTTTACTGTGATCTGAGACACTGAAAACTCTGGGTCATGAGCTGCTCGGTAACCACAGTGCTGCACTTTGTTCTGTAACATGCAGAGGAAGTCTGTATGCTTTTTTAAATTAAGTCACAGCATTTTATGTTTCAATAAGTGCACAATATTTTGATTTATTTTAATTGCCAACATAATGGTGCAAAATACAACATTAGATATATTTTATGCTATGAGGAGTATAAAAATATTTTCGGTTCATTATGAAACTGTGGCAGGACAGATTAGATTGTGGCCACCACAGTCTGGTTTTTGTGTATCTACTTGGATTTCACAAACAGTTTCATCTCCATTGTTGATGATTTCTGACCTGGCATTTATTTTTAGGCCTATCCTGATGGCAGCAGTAAAGAGAAGCGTAGAGCAGCTATAGCTCAGGCTCTTGCTGGTGAGGTCAGTGTGGTACCACCGTCACGTCTGATGGCACTGCTTGGACAGGTGAGCTGAACTTCCCTTGCAACAGGATGTTAGTGCAGTAATACATTATACATTTACTCTGATCTCAGAATTACATTTAAAGGAATAGTTCACATTACTGTAGTTGATGGTCTGTCTCTGTCTCTAAAGTCTCTGAAGTGGCAGCAGCATCAGGGTCTTCTGCCTCCCGGTATGACCATTGATTTGTTCAGAGGTAAAGCAGCTGTAAAGGATGTAGAGGATGAGCGATTCCCCACTCAGCTGGCCAGACACATCAAGGTACAGGAACCAGCATCTGTCTTCCACAGTGACATGAGATGCAATGAAGGTTAGTTACTCACCTCTGTGTGTGTTTTTTCTTCGTAGTTTGGTCAGAAGTCTCATGTGGAGTGTTCACGCTTCTCTCCTGATGGCCAGTATCTGGTTACTGGATCCGTGGATGGATTTATTGAAGTATGGAACTTTACTACTGGAAAAATCAGAAAGGTCTGTGGATCTGCACTGTGACTTATTCATCTGCATTTGTAGTAATCGTTTATGTATACGTTTATTCATGGATCACATGTCTTATGTGTTTTGGACAGGATCTGAAGTATCAGGCTCAGGATAACTTCATGATGATGGATGATGCAGTGCTTTGCATGTCTTTCAGTCGGGACACAGAGATGATGGCCACAGGAGCCCAGGATGGCAAGATTAAGGTCTCGTACACGCTATATTAAAATATAAATAAAAACTTCAGAAGTGCTTATTCATAATCATTGATAAAAATCCTATTATAGTTTCACTAATATTTGGAATTGGTTTTTATTTTTATACTTTCTATATATATTTTTTTTATTTAATTAAAGTTTTAGTAATTTAGTTTGGTGCTTTTTTCATTTATATTAGTTTTTTTAAACATCTATACAGTTTTTATTCTTTTTTTTTTAGTTAAAAATAATTAGATAATGTAGGTAAATATTTGTTTAAAATATTTTGTATAAAAATGCATTTACATTTATTTATTAAAAAAAAATTTTAATACCATTTTTATATAATAACAATAAAAAATACAATAGGATTCTGTTTGAATGGCATTTGCTGCATAAAATATATTTTATTTTTACAGTAGGAAGGCTGATATATTGATTATTTGTAAGGATTGATTGATGGGTTGTGTTGTTTTTTTCAGGTGTGGAAGATCCAGAGCGGTCAGTGTCTGCGGCGATATGAGCGTGCTCACAGTAAAGGCGTCACCTGTATCAGCTTCAGTAAAGACAGCAGTCAGATTCTCTCTGCATCCTTCGATCAGACCATTAGGTGAGCGTCTCTTTTCACTGTCCTCAGCGTCCACAAAAACCACAGCATATTTAACTTACGCTTGTTTTTCAACAGGATTCATGGATTAAAATCAGGCAAGTCTTTAAAGGAGTTCAGAGGTCATTCTTCATTTGTGAATGATGCCACACTTACTCCCGACGGTCATCACATCATTAGTGCCTCATCTGATGGAACTGTGAAGGTACAAATGTTAATGCACTCTCACATTCAACTTTTAATGTTAAATCTCGTCTCTCTCAAGTAAAGTCTCATAAAATGTAACTTGTGTTTTGGTTTTACATTTTCTTTCTCCCAGGTCTGGAACATGAAGACCACCGAATGCACCAGCACATTCAAATCTTTGGGCACGTCTGCGGGAACAGACATCACTGTTAACAATGTGATCCTGCTTCCTAAAAACCCTGAGCATTTTGTTGTGTGTAACCGATCCAACACTGTTGTCATCATGAACATGCAGGGCCAGGTGAGGAGGCCAAGTGTGTAGTTAATGGAAAAGGAGATGAGAATATTGAAATGGTGTCATCTGTGAATTCTCCTTATGGTTTTTCCTGTTGCAGATTGTGAGGAGTTTCAGCTCTGGTAAGAGAGAGGGGGGTGATTTTGTGTGCTGTACTCTGTCTCCACGTGGCGAGTGGATCTACTGTGTCGGCGAGGACTTTGTGCTTTACTGTTTCAGCACAGTCACAGGCAAATTAGAGAGAACCCTGACCGTAAGCCCTCTCTCCCTCCATTTACCTTTCTTTATTAAATCAGCAGCTTTTTCCATTTTTTATTTAAATATTTTTGTTTTTACACAAAGTTTAATATAGCTTTAACTTTTTTTCATACATAAGTGTGTCCTGTTTAAAAAGAATAATAAAATGACTATCATACCATTTTTTTTTTTACCATGATTTGCAGAAAAAAAAATTCAGTGTAACAATAGTTTGTATTCCAAAACAATCCTGTCAGGCATATTTAGAACAAGAATCATTAGATGGCATTAAAAAACTCTATTTAAGGATGACAGTGCAACCCCCCAAAAACCAATTAACTGTCATTTGAAATTTTTACCAATCTTTGCCACTAACCTTCACACCACTAGGTTTTACCCATCTGTCAGCAAGACGTTTTTAATCATTTAAAATATAATACAGTTTAGTATGCTCACCTCTTTTATTAGTACAGGTCAGAATAAGTATGTGGTTTCATTTTTACAAAAGTTATTTGAAACATTAAAGTACACACAGACTTGCATTTAAAATGGCTTCTGTATATGTAAACTCACATTTGTAAATTAAAATTGATGTGGTCATCAAAATGGGATGTAAAAACCAATTTATATCTTATGTATGTATATGTGTATATATATTTTAATTTTTAATATTTAATATATTAAAACTGTTAAAAATGTTTCTACAGGTTCATGAGAAGGATGTCATTGGTATTGCTCACCACCCACACCAGAATTTGATCTCCACATACAGCGAGGATGGGCTCCTCAAACTCTGGAAGCCGTAAACACACAGATGTGTAATATGGGGATCCTGGGTGTGCAGGAGATTACTATTAGAATATGTTGCCTATTTTTTAACCCTTTTTTGTACATACCTGTTTTTTTAAGCGCAGTGGATAAGTTTTTTTCATTTCTTTTCCATGTAGTTAAATTTGGTAAATGGAAGCATCTGTAACTTACAGTAACAAGTTTTGTTCTTTTGATCTAACAATAGATAATTTTCTTTTTTTTTCTTGTCATTCTCTTCCTTTGTGTCTCACAATTAAAGCAGTGTGTCTTGCATGTTGAAAAGCTGAATTGATAAAAAAAAATCAAATAGATTTCTGTCACGTGCATATTCTTAAACACTGCTGAGACTAAATATGATTGTGAATGAATAATTAGGCTAAATGATAACTACAGCTATCAAATGAAGCTCAGAAGACAAACATTTCATAATTTTTAATTCTTCCATAATAATCCATAAAATACAGACATTTTATTTGCGTAAAATTACCACACACAAAAAAAGCCTAAAGACACATGCAAACTATTTGAGAATGCTGAGTTTCCACTTAACCGTGTTCCTCATCTTTGGAGCAGTCGGGGCTTCTGAGGAGTGAACAGGGTCATTGTAAATTTAAAACGGATCACATGAATGAAAACAGCCTCACTGAAAGTACTCACCTTGCTGAGGCACAGCGGGTCTCTGCTGTTGAAATGATGCCATAATGCTATTGGCTGTTGAGTTTGGACCTGTGAACTGGAGAGAGAAGCAGCAAAATTCAAGACTCTAAATATACATAATTTATGTTTAATTTCAGTTTAACTGTAAGCAAAATAAACGCGTATATATTTTCAAATATATTTGAAGTGTAACACATTCAAGAAAAATCTGAATATCAGTTCAATTAATCTCAAATTTTATATTCAAAGAATATTTAACTATTAAAAACAACAACAACGAAATGTGCTGAAACAGTCAATGGGAGCTTGTGTGTGACTCACTGGAGTTTGGCCATGCTGCAGGTTCTCAGTCCAGATCTCTGGAAGGGCCGTTTCCATGAGCTGGAGCAGCTCACCATAGTCTCTCTGCAGGCTGCTGGCCGGACCGTCAAACTGGAAGAGCACCAGAGCCTTCAGCAGGCTGTGAACTTCCTCTGCAGGGTCAGACAAGAACAATCATAAGTGTGAATCTCATGTTGTACATACACATACAGAATACAGCTTCATAAGGAAACTGCTCAGTAGGGCTGCACGATTCTTGCTAAAAAATGAATCACGATTTTTCTCCATGGGAATTGAGATCACGATTCCCTTACACGATTCTCATTTTTTCAACCAAAATTTATTGCACTCAAGTACAAAAACAAAACAAAACACAGGACTAGAGCTGCACGATTCTGTATAAATTGAGAATCACAATTTTTTTTTTGTCTCAAATAGAGATCACGAATCTCCCACGATTCTGAACTAAACAAAATAATGTGTGGCAAAATATGATTGCTGCAGTCTATTTAAAAGTATCGAGATCGCAATCTTTTAACGATTAATCGTGCAGCTCTACTGCTCAGATTCATGTCAATTCTGTGAAGCTTTAAAGTAACATGGAGTCCAAACTAGGCACTAAACCATTATCCATCCACTGTGCATTTGTTAAGGTCTGACTTCACTTGAAACTTGAAATATGTCCATATTTTTGGAAAATAAAATATCCATTATACACACACACACTGGTGTGTGTATAACTGTACAAGTATATCTTATAGATTTCCTAAAAGATGTTTTAGTGTTTCTGTTGTGTCCTCCGCTCACCTCTCATCTTATCAACAATGGTGATGATTTGAATAAGTGCGTTCAGGAGGGCGATGTCCTCAAATGGGCTTCCCTCCTTTAGACTGTGTTTCTTTCCCTCTGCTTTCCTACGATTCTTAGACGACCTCCTGCAGATCAGTTAGCAAACTTCAGCCTCGACATTTCAGCAGCTGACAGGTCATGAGACACTAAAACAGTGAAGTGTTTGTGTTAGCAGTGATGTCACTCACGATGAAATGCGAGAGTTGCTGCGGGAGTATTTTGAGCCAAGATGGCTGCCGGTCAAGACGCTGCTGGCCTCTGAGTAGAGCTCAGCGTCTGCACAGTCAGGGCCGTCCTCATCTGAAACACGAAGAGACTGTCAGTACGCAACAGGAAATAGTTTAAAACCAAAAGTGTACTGATCACTGAACATATCACGTTATTCAAGAAAACAATCTAAATAAACACTAACATCAAAGCTCTCCATTAAAAATTTTTTTTTTATATATATTCAGTGTGATTAAACATTCAATATTTCTTCTGGACACATGCAGTGTCTTCGGAAAAAACGAATGATATAAATGAATCTGATTAATATTTCCTGTTTACCAAATAACTCCAGTCTGGCCTTGGCTTTGAGTTCTCGGACCACAGCAAGGCGGTTTTTGTGACGGATGAACAGAGTCTTCTGGGACTCCAGGAAAGACGTCTGATTACTGTGAGCTACAGGCCAGCAAATATACAGTTAAGATAAAGCACAAAATAAATACAATATAAATAGGTCAATGACAAAAAATAAATAAATTAATAATAATAATAATAATATGATGGTTTACCATCTAGAAGTGCAGACTTCAGATCAGTCTCAATGATGTCCTGTCTGTTGTACAGATAAATCTGTAATAAGAAATAAAATAAAGTATATGTGTATGTATGTGTGTGTGTTTAAGTCTCTTATGCTCACCCAGGTTTAATTTACTTGATAAAAATACATCAAAAACAAAAAGTGTTAAATAGTATTATAACATGAAATAACTTCTATTATATTATATTATATTTCTATTTTATAATATATTTTAAAATGTAATTTATTTCTGTGATGCAAAGCTGAATTATCAGTGTTGAAACCCATTATGTTGCTTAAATATTTTCTGGAAACTGATACAGGATTCTTTGATGAATAGAAATGTTTAAAAGAACAGCATTTATTTGAAATAAAAATCTTTTAATTAATGCTTCCTTGCTGAAGCATATATATATATATATATATATATACTTAATTTATATAAATGAAGTCAGACACCGTTTTTGTTTTATCCAGCTCTATTTACTCAGTGCAACTTATAACATCCAAGTGAAAGATATAACACCAACATGTCAGAAAAACAATAAAAATAAAAAAACAGAATCACTGAGTTGGAAAAATGATTACCCCCTCCTAAAAATGACTTGTAAACTCAATCGGGTGAAGCTAATCACCTTCTCAATGACACACGAAGTCATTTGACTTTCAACTGTGATCAGCTGTGGTCATTTTGATTAGCTCAGCATGAAAAGAGCTTTCCTGGAGCATTTCAGTCCTTGGTAGTGCAGCTGAAGCAAACAGTCAACTATGGATGGCAAGCACTGTCAAAAGATCTCCGGGATAAAGTTGTGGACAGGCACAAGTCAGGAGATATATACAAAAAAATGTCAAAGGCTTTATCAATGTGTAGAAGCACAGTGAAGTCTATTATTGAGAAGTGGAAGGTATTTGGTACAACACAGACCCTCCCTGGATCAGAATGTCGCTCCAAACTGGATGAAAGAGCAGGAGGAAACTGCTCAGAGAGGCTACTAAGATCAAGAGGCCTACAGCAACTCTGAAGCAGTTGCAGGTATTTATGTCGAAGAGTGGTCATTGTGTGCATGTGTCAAAAATATCACAAATTCTCCACAAATGTGGCTTATATGGGAGGGTTGCAAGAAAAAAATCCACTGCTCAAGAAAGGCAACATGCAGTCACGACTGAGCTTTGCCAAAACGCACCTTGAAGATTCTGAGGCAGATGAGACTAAAA